TAAATAAAATCTTTAAAAAAAAAAATAAAATAAAGAGCTGACCCCAAGAATCTGCATTTTTAACTCCCAAGGTCATTTTTATGCTCAAAATTTGTAAGTACTTCCACATTAGCTAGAAATTTTCACCTCAATTAAGCCTTAAACACGAAGATGGAAATTATGCTTGGACTCAGAGCAATGAAGACAAGCTAACCGAATATAAACAATTCAATAAAGCACAGTGGTTAAGAGAATGTATGAAGCTGGACTTCCTGAATTTACATTTCTATTCCACCACTCCCAAGCCATTTTACACAAGGCAAATGTGCCCCAGTTTTCTCACCTGTAAAACGGAATACTACCACCCACCTCAGAGTTAAGAGTACTAATAAGTTATTAAAGCTCTCAGAAGATTGCCTAAAAAATTTAAGAAGAGTGCCTGACCCCTGCAAACACCCAAAATACAATACTTATTTAGAATCCTTATGGCCAATGGCCAAAAACGGTTGGCTACATGGCTGGGGTTCTTATTTGCTGAATCCCTGGAATTTACATCCATCTCTAACAATGTAGTACAAAACCATTAAGGAACGAATATTGTCCACTGCTTAAAAACTAGATGCTTCTCAGATAAAACATAAACCAGGTAACTGGCTCTAGAAATGGTATAGGCTGAGAGCAGTTAATCTGTTTTTCAAATTTCTTTCAAGAAGATAGAAAAAGACAAAATAACTGAGACTCCCAAACTTTTCATAGTGGAAAGAGGTCTACATTTAACATTTAATCATCCAAATCACAGAAAATAGAGGTAAAGCAACCAGGTGGGTGGGCTAAGGTACAAGACTGTCCAATAAAGACCTCACATTCATCCTGCCACTTTCCCTTATTCTCATAATCTGCATTTAGAACAAGCTGACTTCCTGCAAGAGAAATCTGGCAACGACAAGGAAAAAAATATCTAACCGTATGTAAAATGTCACTATATGATAAAGCTCATATTAGAGTATTAAGACAGTGGATACTTTCAACAGTAGCAATGGCTGCCAGACAGAGGACCTGAACTGAAGACCTGTAAAGGGGGGGAAATAATCTGTACTAGGTCACAACGCAGAAAAAGAAGGCTGATAATAAAATGGAGAAACCGATTCTCCGAAAAGAGCATGTGCAACTGCTAAGGCGAGATTCCCTCAAAAGAAAAAGCCTCCATGCCCAAAATGCTAGTCCTCAATCGTTTCGGCAAACAGATGCAGAGAAAACGGAGGAAATATCTCGGTGAGAGATGACCCGAATTCTCACGGGAAGAAAGGCAGAATCCAGTTTTAGGCCTGCAGCAACTCAAGGGCCAGTCAACCATTTTCCAGGAAGCCCGAAATCTCCAGATTAAAGGGATTTAACGTCTTGGACAGCTCTCTGGAAACCCACGGAAGACACACATTGGTGATTCAAAGGATTTAGGGGGAGGGGAGGCGGTGGGAAAGAGTCAAAAGAAGCCTCCTCGAGGATAAAATCACCTGACTCGTGGGCAAAGAATACCCAAGGAGCTGAAAAGAGGGAGAAAGGGTTCTGGGTAAAGACCCTCCACTCCCACAACCGGAAAGCGCGGACCACTGCGCGCGAGGGCTACGCGGGGGCCGAACCCCGATCCCCCGAGCTTGGACCCGAGGCCTCCAGTCGCCTGTCAGCCCATGCACCAACCTGGGACCACCGTGCGGGGGCACTGTCCCCGCGCGAGCGCGCGGGAAAAACGGCGGCCGGGCCGGATGGGGGCAGGGCGAGCCGCGAGGACAACCCGCCGGGCACTTACGCTGCCGCTTCTTCCTAAGGCTTTCGACGCGCTGGCGGGAGGCCGAGGGGGCGCCGCTGTAGGAGCCGGGCCGGCTTCGTCTGACGCCCTCGGCCGAAGCCGAGGCCCCAACGGGGGGCTCCGACGCGCTGCTCGCCCGGCACCGCAGCAGCTCCCGCCGCCGCCCATCAGGCCCTACGGGCGCCGGCTCCCCCGCCGACGAGGCGGAGGTGTCGGACGCTCTGCCGTGGCGTTCCATGGGCACGCCGAGCCGGCCCGCTCCCATCCGCAGCAGCCACCGCTGCCGCCCGAGCCAGCCCCCCAGCGCCGGACCCCTCGTCGCCTCCTCCGCGGCAGTCCAGCTCAAGCAGAGGCGCACCCTCCGCCGGCCGCCTCTTCCGTTGCGCCAACGCGCAGCAAGCCAATCCAAATAGGCTGGGGGCGGCCCGAAGGCCTCGCGTCCACTCGTCTCTCTCACTCGAGGCGGATCGACCGCGCCTCCGTCCAATGAAAGGCTCCCAGGACGGAGCGGGGCGGAGAGTGGCGGGGGAGGGGATCCGGGCTTAGCCGCGGAGAAGGCGGTGTTGCTGGGGGGACAGTGATGGCGGCACCGCCCAAGGGACGTGTGGGTGGAGGGGCCGCAGCACCCGTCCGCACAGGTGGACAGGTCCGCTCCCCAGGCCCAGCGTCCCGCCACGCTGCTGCGTCCGGCCTTTCCCGGCCCGCACCCTCCTCCAGCCCAGCACTGTGCCCCCCCAGCGTCTGGCCGCCAGTCTTTGGCAAAGAGAAGGGCTTGAACCGCGGCTGACCTTAGCCTTTGTCCCTTGGCCTCGTTCCGCCGCCGCCGTCGAGGCCGCCAGCCCCTCCGCGCTGTATTTTTTACCACCACTCAGTCCCCCAGCGCTGCCACGGGCGTGTTTGGGCTAAGCCCCCTCCATTTCGCCTGCGTTGGAGAAATGTTCCCGGTACCAGAAGGAATGAAAGGACTGGGGCTGGTCTCCATGGCAACTGGAAGAAAGAGGTGGGTTATAAATCCTTCGCCACCCTCCTGTGCTGAAGGAGGGGGTGTGGGAGCCGGGGAGTAGGGTTGGCTTTTTGAAGGACAGTCTGGACTCCTTTTCTGTGCGGCGCACTGGGGGGACATAGAAGGATTTGGTGGCTGCCTTGGAGCCTGTGTTGTTAGGGGTGTGTGCGTGCGCGTGTGCGCGCGTTAATCATCTTCTTCCCTTTGGGCGTGGGGGGGTGGGGTGCAGACAACATAGTCACCTCCAGCCCTGAGATACTGAGCACTCACACCTACCAAAGGCCCTTCCAACCACCCTTCTCCAAAGGTTACCCCAGCCTGAAATGATCCTGCCTTTTTCAGTACCCTCAACGCACTCCCTCACTCCATCAAGTTTAACCCCAGGTTGCTTGCTAATTACTCATAAGTGCCTCCCCCAGGACACTGTAATGCCCCTTGGGTGATAGCCCTCCTTTTCTTCACCTTTCTCGTAATGAGTGCTCGTCCTGAACAAGATAGATGAGCTTCTCTCTTGCTTGTTGAACAAAATTATGCTCACTCCAAACTAGCTCCCCTCACTGTAGGAATAACTCTGGAAACCCTATACCCAAATTCTGGAAATTCCAGCTCCTGCAAGAAGCCACCCAGATGGATCCTACAAGAACCAAGAACACCTGAAGCTAGTCTTCTAAATCTCAGCACCCAGTGTGGCCCATCGTTCTTTCTACCCCCCACCAGTCTGGTCCTCCTTGACCTGAGGGAGGTTTCATTCAAGTCTGTGAGTTCTGCTAGATCATCCGGAAAAATCAAAAATCATCATCCTCATTATCCAAGACTGCCAAGGTGAACCCCAATAGCAAAACAACACCTGAAATACGTGTGTAGTCTGTTTGTTTGTTTACAGTGTACAGAGTGCCTTTACATGTCATTTAATCTTCCCAGCAACACTGGGATGTTGAGGCAACTTAACCACAGGCTCACAGCTAAAAAAAATGATAGAGCCTGGATTCCTGAGAAGTTCAGCCACTCTCTGCCTTACAGTAACCAAAAGGCACAGATTCAGTAAAATTCCAATAAGTTACTAGAAGGCTTTTTGTCCTCTTAAATAAGTATATGTGTCTTCACTCCCTTGTGTGAACTTACAGTTTGTGGCTATCTTTAAAGTTTATCCAAAAATAACAGATGAAGCATACACTAATGGCAATTAGGCAAGATGTTTATAATCCTAAATGAAAAATGCAAATAAACTGAGCAAAAGAAACCAGACATGAAAAAATACATACCGTATGATTTATATGAAGGTCAACATTTTTTTTTTAAGATTTTATTTATTTATTTGACAAAGAGAGACACAGCGAGAGAGGGAACACAAGCAGGGGGAGTGGGAGAGGGAGAAGTAGGCTTCCGGCTGAGCAGGGAGCCTGATGCAGGGCTCAATCCCAGGACGCTGGGATCATGACCTGAGCCGAAGGCAGATGCTTAACGACTGAGCCACCCAGGCGCCCCTGAAGGTCAACATTAATAAATGTTTTTAGAAGTCAGGATGATAGTGTTTTGTGGGGGAAGGGGAAGAAAGTCAGGATGACAGGGCAACAGATAGACTTCTGTAGGGCTGGGAGTGTTCAGTTTCTCTGGTCTGGGTGGTGGCTACATGGGTATGTTCACTTTACAATATGTCATCAAGATGTTCACTTGTTTTGGGGTGCCTGGGTGGCTTAGTCGTTGAGCATCTGCCTTCGGCTCAGGTCATGATCCCAGGGTCCTGGGATCGAGCCCCACATCGGGCTCCCTGCTCCGCGGGAAGCCTGCTTCTCCCTCTCCCACTCCCCCTGCTTGTGTTCCCTCTCTCGCTGTGTCTCTCTCTGTCAAATAAATAAATCTTCAAAAAAAAAAAAAATGTTCACTTGTTTTGTGCTCTTTCTGCATGTGTGTTTTACTTAAATAAAACATTTATTTAAAAAAAAAAGAAATTGGGGGCGCCTGGGTGGCTCAGTCGTTAAGCGTCTGCCTTGGGCTCAGGTCATGATCCCAGGGTTCTGGGATCAAGTCCCACATCGGGCTCCCTGCTCCGCGGGAAGCCTGCTTCTCCCTCTCCCACTCCTCCGGCTTGTGTTTCCTCTCTCGCTGTGTCTCTCTCTGTCAAATAAATAAATAAAAATCTTTAAAAATAAAAAAGAAATTTAAAAAAAGAAATTGAAGATTTGTCCTGGAGTAAGGTTTTTTTGTTTTTTGTTTTTCCAAAAAGTCAAATGAAAGTAGCAATTAAGAGGTTTCCTTTCTCTCTGGTTATTATAACAGTTTACAGGGAGAGTATCATTAAGTGTTGTTGTTTTTTTTTATCACTTTTCTCAGTTATTAACCCTTAGGGAAAAACCAGTTTTCTGGTATACACACCAGAAGAAGAAGCACAGAGGTCATGGTAAGCCTAATGTTTTGGAGGAACTAATCAAATTCTAAAGTAATAATTTGCAAATCTAGAGCCATTTCAGTGACCAAACATCACACACAATACACACCTACCATATTAGTTGCCTTTTGCTAGGTCAGAAATAACCCCAAAACTTAGTGGCTGAGTAATAAATATTTATTATTTCAGTTTCTGTTGGTCAAGAATTTGGGAGTGATTTAGCTGGGTGGTTCTGGCTCAGGGTCTTTCATGAAGTTGCAGTCATTTGAGGGCATATGGGCTAGAGGATCCATTTCCAAGATGGCTTATTCACATGACTGGCAAGCTGGTACTAGGTTTTGGCAGAAGGCCTCGGCTCCCACAACATGGGTGGGCCTCTTCACTGGGTTGCTTTAGTGTCCTTCACAACATGACAGCTGGCTTCTCCCAAAGCTAGTGATTCAAGGAAAAACATGCAGAAGTCGCAATATCTTTTAAGATCTAGCCTGGGAAGTCATACTCCCATCATCTCTGCAACATCCTATTGCAGGATCCAATTTCCTATTTTTACACAGATCAGCCTTCTTCAAAGTGGGTTGATATTACCCAAGGACGTGAATACCAGGAAGGAGAGAGTCATTGGAGGCCATGTTAGGGCCTACAGTCTGCCCTCTGGCCCCCAGAGGATGTGAGAAGATTCACTTCCTCATCACTTAACTACTTTCTAACAGCCAGGGGACAGACCTTCTCTGAGTTTCTACTGAGTTTTCTAGCAGCTAAAGTAGAGCATCACTAGGGAGTAAAAACTTAAAAGTATGTCACAAGAGTACCAAGCCACAGAGGTTTTATAGACCAACTTCTTTCTCCTTTCACTGGGCTGTATTGATGCCAGGGACATGAGAAGCATAGAATCAGTCCCCTTTCAAGCACAAGGTCTTTTTTCCAGAATAAAATGGTGTGGAGAATTAGGAGAAACCTTGCCTATTATCTCTCCCAAAGGACAAAGATATGAAAATAGTGACATTATTAAGCCCCTAGACATTCTTCCAAGGCCTGGCCCCTGGCCCAGAATCCACTACTAAAGAGGTACAAAGATGTGTGTTACATGTGCATGTGCACATTCACACACACACACACACAGTATAGTTAGCATGTGGCATTCTGGTGGTCTCACCAGAGCTCACAGGCCATATGAAAGTGTTGCCTGCTTTCAGACATAAGGCTCAACTTGTCTCAGGAGAATAGAGACAGAAAACCCAAGATGAAATATAATGAGTTTAGAGCAACTCGGAGTTTCCCAGACATGGAAGATCCTATCCCTTTCCAAGTATTGAAAGGGTTGAAAATTTTTCTGTCTTCAAGTTCCTGGCCCATCTTATCTTTAACTAAATATCCCTGATTTGGATACTATTACCAGATAACAACTAATGGCTTAGCGCTGTGCTCAAATAAGTTTGGGAAATATAAGGTAAACTTAAGTGCATCTTCTTACAGCTTTTAATATGCCAAAGGGCAATATGAATATCCAAGAGGAGGCTGAGGTATGTATATCTATCTTCCAAATGTAATTGACCATGGAATCCTTTTTTCATGGAATCTTTTCCTTAGACACACTTTGGGAAATTCATCTCTGGATATAAAAATCACTTGCACATCTGTTATATTAAAGGCAATGAAGAGTTCTAGTTCTTTGCATTTTGAAAGCCTGATGGCTTTTTTATTTTTAGAGAGGGGGAGGGGCAGAGGGAGAGAGAGAATCTTAAGCAGGCTCTATGCCCAGCGCAGAGCCCAACGCGGGGCTCCATCTCACAACCCTGAGATCATGACCTAAGCCAAAATCAAAAGTTGGACGCTTAACCAACTGAGCCACCCAGGTGCTCCAGCTTGATGGCTATTATTATCTTCATCCCCAAATAAACCTACAGTAGTCGTCCCCCTCCCTTATCTGAAGCTTCACTTTCCCAGGCTTCAGTTACCCGTGGTCAACCACTGTCTTGTAGTAGATGATCCTTCTTCTAAAATACTGTCAGAAGGTCACTAGTAGCCAATGGCTCATTACAACACCTATGTCGTTCCCCTCACTTCATCTCATCACGGTATTTTATTATCTCACATCATCACAAGAAGGGTGAGCACAGTCCAATAGGAGACCACATTGATATAACTTTTATTACAATAGACTATTATAATTGTTCTATTTTGTCATTGTGGCTAATCTCTTACTGTGCCTAAATTATAAATTAAAC